ATATTTTTATATGTGAATTTATATAAATAGTGAATCGAGATTTCTATAATATTATAAAAAAATCTATAAAATATCAATAAAAATATCAAACATAATATTAATAATAATAACTTTTTACTTAATAGAAATAAGTGAAAAATCTTTAGTCATTAATTTAAATATTTTTTTAATTTCTCATATTTACAACAATTTAGTGATATTTTTCGTAAAATTGATATCTTTACATTTTGATGGACATCAACAAATGCATTAAGAGAGAAGAAAAAAAAGGAAATTTTTAATTTTTACTTGAATATTTTTCTTATAGTTGGTCAATCTTAATGTCATCAAATTAAATCATAAATAATGCCATTAACATTTCTTCAAAATTAGATTACTCACAAGTCAAAAAAATCAATAAATCCAATGAAATTCAACAACCAAAACGTGCCAGATTTTGCAGGCACTAACATGAGCTTAGCTCAACAATAATGAGTATGTATCACTAATTAAGATGTCATGTCTTCAATCTCTCGGTAAAAAAAAAGAAATCAAAGAACTAGTTCTACACTTTAATAGTATTTAAAAAAAAAACATTTTACTATTTTGGATCCTGGGAAGACTTTGAACGTAGAAAGCAAGTTTTAATTGGAAAATGCCTTTGTGGAAAAAGAATTCAAAATGTCAAATCTAAGTATAACTAAGAACAACAAACATACATTATTAAACATATATATTTAGACATTTTGCTAACTACCATTAAAGTTTTTATATATAAGAGAGAAATTTAGGACGGAGATATATATTTTATAACTTTTTTTAATGAAGAGTTGTCAAAATTTAGTGGCAGTTCCCCTGCGAGAACCTAAATATTTTTCTTTCTTATCATCTCAAATATTTGATCGTTTGATCTTTGAATAAAAAAAATATAATAAAAATACAATAAATCAAAGGAAGAAAGCAAATTACAGCGAAAAGAGAATAGAGATGATGGAGAGATGATGATCAATAAGACAACCACATGACTTCCAATTCCTCTAATAATCACCATTATTATATTTTCAACGAGATCCTTAATCCTAAAACGTTTTATTATTATTATTATTATTATTATTATTATTTCATGTTCGCAAATTCCATCTAATATTTTGACTTTAATATTGACCATGATTTTATTTCCACTCTAAACTTTAAGAATATTATTGTAGATTAAGTTCTCAGTTTCTATGATTTTGGCCCCAACTTAAAT